CTTCCTTCCTTCCTTCCTTCCTTCCTTCCTTCCTTCCTTCCTTCCTTTTGGCTCATGAAAACATTTACACAGCAAAATACATCAATAGTATATTCAAGATTAACCTTACATACAATTCATTTCATGCTGGAGGGATGATATAATCACAATTAAAATACAGTGATCCAACAAAAAGTGTAGTTGAAGTCTTTTTTTTCTTTTCTACATCAAGCGATGTGTGTTAAGAAATATAAAGAATAAGCAAGATGCAATGCAGCACATTGCTTATAATATAACACCAACAAGTAAACTTCAATAAAGATATTTGGACCATTGGATAGCAGTGTTATCAAAGGAGATTGTAAAATAAGGCCTCCCCAGCTGTCTTCCATATGAAGGCTGTTCGGAACCTATTTAAAAAATTGTGGACAGCCTTATTATTTGGACTTTTAAAGATGGTGGACAAGTTTCTTTAAAAGAGTTATCATTAAACTTGGCATTTAGGGAGTGAACCAATAACTGAAAGAAAAAAAAAGGTGGAATTTATGGCCATTTCTCACGACTGATGACATAAATTGGGAGATCTTCTTGAGATCAGTATTGGAACTTTGCTTTTCAATTTGTCTATAACTTGCTTTTTGTTTTTAGGAAGCATCATGGCTTAAACATTTTAAACATCATTTGTTCTTTGGTAACCTTGAAAGGGGAAATTATTCTGGACAGTAAACTTTGCTGGTGCATCCCCTGTTTGAAGCAGCAAGTGGAATTATAGCTGCATAAATCAGCTTTAAGTCTTTGACTTACAACTATAATGGAGCTTGTCCATTATGGCTGCAAGTCATAATGGTGATTAAGCAAGGTGCCAGGTGTGAGCTGGGAAGGTGGGGCATTATGGCCCTGGATAATTGCATTTGGATCCAATGCACTCCTTGCCTTCTTTATATGGTACAGAGGCCTATGATACTTTCCCACTTCTAGCATGGTACCACATAGCCTCCATGTAGGAAAGTCATGTGGTGGAGTGGCTGCTTTCCAAAGGAGGTCTAAGTGGACCAGGCTGCGATGAGGGGTGGGAAAGAGGATGTGGCAATGGAGCTAGCACCCAAAGGCTTCTTTTTTTAAAAAAAAACTGGTAGGGTGAAGTTATCCTGCCATCTGGTTGTCAACATTTAACAAACATTCAAAGTTACAACAGCACAAAAATGTGATTTGTAACTGGTCCTCACACTCCTTCTGAATCTAAAGATGAACGGCAGCATTTCCTTCAAGAATGGTACTGGGTATAGCCAGTCTGAAGTTCTTCTCACATGTTGTTTTACTAAATACATGGATAGGGAAAATTCATGTAAACAGTCTACTTGTTCCAATTGTGTGATTTGATCCCTTCATCCTCTTCCCTACACCAATTTCAAAACAGATGAATGTTAGCCTTCTCCAGGACAGATTCTACATGTAACGCAACCATCTGAACTGTAGGGGACAAGATGGAACAACATTTGGTGATGGATAACAGATAACAGATAATCAGAGTTGGAAGGGACCTTGTAAGTCATCAAGTCCAGCCCCCTGCCCAAGCAGGAGACCCTACACTATTTCTGACATATGAGAGTCCAATCTCTACTTGAAAGTCTCAAGTGATGGCGCTCCCACAACTTCCGAGGGCAAGCTGTTCCATTGGTTGGTTGTTCTCACTGTCAGAAAGATTCTCCTTATTTCCAGGTTAATGCAGTGGAGTGATACAGTGGGGTTGGCGAAACAGTGTATGTCAATTTGTGTATGCTTTCATGTCTTTTTCTACATAACATATATGTAAAGAGGATTACAAGGAGAAGCGTTTGTATATCTGAAAATTTCTTCCTCAGATTCCAGAGTTTATTTCAAGGACTGTGATTAGTGCAAGATCCAATCTGGGTCAGTCACCAGGACCAGAGGTGACTAATACAGACTGGATCCTGAAACATTATCCTGGTACATATACATTCACCTTCATTTGTGACTGTGATTACAGTTTATGAATGGATTTGCTGTGAAATTCATTTATATTCTAAAACTGCTCACAGTTATCTGTATAGACCAGGGGTCCCCAACCACCGGGCCGTGGACCGGTACCGGTCCGTGGAACATTTCCTACCGGGCCGCCGGTTTGCTGGGCGCCGCCATCTTGTTTAACAAGAAAGTGCTTCCGGGTGAGCTTTTTCGGTTGGAAAGCGGCGTTTGGGTCCTGAAGGAATCCTCGCGCCTTAGTTTCATCGACGGGGGGGGGGGCTTCAAACGAAATTAAGGCACGAGGATTCTTTCAGCACCCAAGGCAAGGCGAGCCGAGCGACCATCCCGAAGCCGTCCCGAAGCGAAGCCCATTGACAAAGGTACAAAGGAGGAGTTGAAGGTGGCGGGGAGAAGCGGGGGACGGCTGGCTGGCCGGTCGCTCAGCTTGCCTTGCCTTGTCATGTGTGCTGATGCCGGTACCGGGACGCCGATCATTTTGTGATGCCGGTACCGGGTCGTGGCACAAAAAAGGTTGGGGACCACTGGTATAGACACCTCAAAATAATTGTTTTTAGTGAAATGAAAAAGTGTTCATTCCTTCTTAGATTTTTGTATAACTTTGATATCAAATGTTATCAGAGCCTCATGGGGAGTTTTTATAGATATCTAAGTGAACAGGTAACACCATACCTTAGTGCTCTTTTTATTTCATATATAAAAACATGAGAGGAAAAAGAGCAAAAGAAAACAAAGTCACCAACGGGCAGTTTCCTAGTGTGAAAAAGTAATAGTCCCCTGGATTCAAAAACTGGTTCCTCTACCTTTAGTTACAGTAATTGCAATAAAGTTTTTTCGGTAATTCTTGATCAGTCTCATATTGCTGTGCAAGAATTATGGCACATTCTTCCATGGCAAACAGTTCACTCAGTAACATTTAAGAGCTTTCCAGTATAAACAGCCCATTTTGGATCCCGCCACAATACTTCTGTGAGGTTTAGGTCTGGACCTTGACTTGGTTATCCCAAAATATCAGATTTGTTCTTCCTTTACATAACTACTTACATGTTTGATATTGTTGCCTTCTTCCACTTCAGTTTATGGCCTAATGTTCTCTTGTAGCATTCCCAAAGTAGAATTCATATTTCCTTCAGTGAAGGCAAGCAAGCAAGGCATTGAGGCAGCAAAGCCTCTATCAACCCATGGCAGTACTACCTCCATCCTTGATAGTCAATATAAGATTCTTACGATGGAATACAGTGTTTTGTTTCCAACAGACATATAGCCAAAAAAATACCATGTTTGATACATCTGTCCCTAGATTTATGGAAAGTCATTGCGGGTGTTAGTTTTCAGAAGGTGATTGTCATTTGTCTTAGTGAGCCACTTTCCTACTGTCCCATAATTTCCATTTTTATCATTTTTTTATAGTAGACTCATGAACACTGACTTTGGCTAAGGCAAGGAAGATCTGCAGTTCCTTCAATATTGTTATTCTATTTGTGAGTTTCTAGATAATTTTATGCTAAGCTATCGAAGTAGTTTTCAAAAGAGAATAATTATTTGGAAGATTTATTATTGTCCCAGGTTTTCTGTATTTCAAGGATGTATCTTCAAAATCAATGAAAACTTAGAACTTTAAAAATAGTTAAATGTAATTTTTTTCAGAATTTTTTTTTTGCAGAGGTCTTCAGAAATTTCTTGTGACGTTGCAGAAGATACCTCTAGAATCTGTGTGGTGAGAACATCACTGTAGTGAGAGATGTCAGTCCATGAGATATATATTGGGGTGAGTTGGTTAGGATCAGTCCTTCTTGTACTGAATAAAGTACTTACACAACCTGTTTATTAACATTTTAATTGATTGAACTATATGCCTGATATGTATAATTGTTTTTCCAAAGTAGTATACTGAATTTTAGGTTACATTGATTATGAAATAAATAAGCATCAACCTTTGGTATTGGTTTTCTCACACTTCCTTCCATGTATCAAGTAAGACCCATCATAAGCTTTGATAATAATCAGTGACAAAGATATGCAAAAATTCAGAAAATCCAAAAGGGGATGAATACTTTTTATAAAAGTTACAATTTTCATCTATATAGCTAATGAGAAGCTATCATTCAAATTTTTATTACTGAATTGTAATTCAAAAGACAGACTCTTAATCAGTTTTGGTAAGAAGTGAATCTTAAATTTTTTTCATGCTTTCCCAATTTAAAGAAGTTTGAATTACAATCCTTGTAATGATTAATCACATTGCTGCCTAATAATGTACACCAGGTTGGGGGATTCACATTTCTGCCTAATAATATGCATCAGGTTGGTATTCCATAAAGATGCTCAGTGCTAAAGCATATAATACATTCAGAAAAACCTTAATACAATCCCTGGGATTGCTCCATAGGCATAAATCTGTACTATATGTGTTGTGAATAAGGAGAACACCTGAAGGAAGACATAGTTTCCTTTATTATTTCTCTATAAAATATTACTCACTTTTACCAGGGATTTGGAAAGGACTTTTTATTTAATATGATGTGAAGTATTTTAATTTCCCCATGTAGATGACTTATCATTCAGCAATTTGGCATAAACAAATAGCTTACTGTTTTATTTTTAAAAGCACAGTTGGATAAAATAGCAGTTTAAAAAATTCTGTATTTCATGTCAAAAACTTTTCTCAAGGGCTTTGCTCATTTTCCTGAGGACCAATTTTGTTTTTCATTTAGGCATGTTTAAGATTTTAGGCACAATAATATACTTAGAGTCTGCAGAAGAGTCTTTACAGAACTTGCAACTTGATGTCAAGATGTGCTACACTGTACCAATAAACTGTAAGGAAGTTTAAAATACAGCTTTATGTCAGGATTCCATAACTTTTACATAGCAGAGTATTTCGTGTGCTGACAGAATGTTTTTTGAGGTATCTTCTAAAATTGTAAGTCTAAAATTAAAATCAAAACAATCAAGAGAGCACTGGCTTAAAACAGTTTTTTGGCACGAAAAAAGTAAATCGAGAAGTCACCACTGCCATCTATTGGAGAGAAAATAACATTGCACAGAATTAAACTATCTTTCCTAAACTTCAAGGTACTATAGAAAATGTTTTTCTTATTAAGCTCATAAAGTATTTTTTTTTAGAATAGCTTAGTCTTTTTTCAGATGCAGTCTGAATTTATATGCTTTATTATGGTGATTATTGCATTATTACTATTATAAATTTATAATTTGAGGGCGGAGCTTCTCTACATGCTGGAATCCTCCTGCTTTGTTATTTACCCTGAGAAATTCTAACCCTTTTCCTGTGACAGTGAAAGGAGAACTAGATCTTATTGTCAGCTATTACAGCCAGTACACTTTTCCCCCTTTGGTTAAATAAAAAATCCAAGGTTGGGAATACAGCTGCTTGTGTTTCTTCAGATGACTTGAACTACAGTGCCTATCATTCTCAACCAGCTCATTACTAAGACCACAATTGTGACCCTGACATTTATGTGCAAACTGATGAATTCCTGACAGGCATTAATTTAGAAAAGCTATGATACTCCACTCTCAGCCATACAAGGTTACTGTGGAATTTTGGCACCAGTTATTCTCTCTCAGCATGCCCTATCTCAGGGTTATTGTGGGGAAAATCTAGATGTTGGTTTGTTTTTTATGCAGTTTATCTACTAGCTCAATCCTTATGGACACTAAGAGGTTTACAGAGATTAAAATAGCAATAATAAGTACATTTAAACAGTTCAGTAAGAAAAATAATATAAAAACATATTTCTTATCATTATAGATATTTATCCATAGGTGCAGTCTCCAAAGGCCTTCCAGAAAAGTCAGGTTTTTATTTAACTCCTGGAAGGCTGTTAGAATGAAGGCCAGAGGGTGAAAAACTTGGAGTGTTTATGTGTCACCCTAAGGTTTTGGAGGAGAAGTGGAATATAAGTTTATCAAATAATAAAAGAACAACACAATACTAAATCAAATAAAAACTGTACACACACACACATATACATGGTATACTTTTATATATGAACTGATTTTGTGTGTGTGTGTATATATACACAATACATACATATACGCAAAATCAGGTCATATATAAAAGTATATTATCTAAAGCAGCAGTAAAACATTTTGAATATCCATACTTAATATTTCTACCCAAAAATGTATTTGCAAGTGTGAAAATATATTAGATGTTACTATTTATTGTAAATAAAATATAAACCAACAAACTAACTGGACAATTTTTCAAAATTCTGTGTCAGCTGAAAAGTTATTTCCTATTCTTTTAAATATGACTGAGTTAATGGAAAATGTTAGATTGCAATTACTGGTAAAAGGAAACTAGGCCACCAAAGAATACAGTGGCTTGACATTATCAAAGATGACACCAGCCAGAGCATAGAAAAATTCAAGAAGTATAAGATTGGAAGATGTGGAGAGATCTGGGCCATAGAATTCCCAAGTCAGACACAAATGAATGGATAACATCATCATCATTACTGTTTGGTTAAATTGGAAAATTAACTCGGTTATCTAAGGTGGTGCTTGCCATGCATTTTGTCTATATGGCCAGTAGATGGCAACCCTCTATTTTAAAATGTTTCTACTTTGACTCCAGGCTTCTATCAGAAGCAAAGACTATTCTCAGGCATTGTGCAAATGTTAATATGATCAGATCAAACAGATATAGATCCTTTCAGATTAGCTACTACTGATTAATCATTCTGATGGTTAAGTCACTAAGTGTATAGCCAAATTCAGACATTTTGGAATCTGTTCTTCTTAACTCACAGATTTAGAATTTGTTCTTTATTTTTTAGATTAGATGTATGAGAAGCTTCACAGAAGCAAATTGTCCCCTTGAGACTACTTCATATTAGCTAACAGCAGCAATGTGACTTTTCAGCCACTTTTAATGCCAGTGTTGAAGCACAAATCAACAGTCTTCTCAGACCCTGGCCAAGGCAGCCACCTACAGTTAATCAGAAGCCAGGGTTTGTGGGATGTGTCAGTAATCAGTTCAGAGAAACACTTATCATCGGACAAACTAAGAGACAGACTAAGAAACCTTTGAGAATTCAGTGTCTAGAATTCAGACTACTAGGAAACTGAAGATGTTTTATTCAGTCTGGTTAAGGTGGAAGGAAGATTTCTTATATTCTTTCCTTCAATAATCACCTAGCTCAGGGGTCCCCAACCACCGGTCCCCGGACTGGTACCAGTCTGTGGAACAATTTCTACTGGGCTGCCAATTTGCTGGGCGCCGCCATCTTGTTTTGATGAAAAAGTGCTTCCGGTGAGCTTTTCCGGGTAGAAAGCGGTGTTTGGGTGCTGAAAGAATCCTTGCGCCTTAGTTTCATCAAGGGGTGGTGGTGGCTTCGAACAAAATTAAGGCACGAGGATTCTTTCAGCACGCATGGCAAGGCAAGCTGAGCGACCGTCCCGAAGCCCATCGACACAGGTACAAAGGAGGAGTTGAAGGTGGTGGGGAGAAGCAGAGGACGGCTGGCTGGCCGGTCACTCGGCTCGCTTTGCCATGCATGCTGATGCCGGTACCGGGCTGCGGATAATTTTGTGATGCCGGTACCGGGCCGCGGCACAAAAAAGGTTGGGGGCCACTGACCTAGCTGAAATGCCAAGTCACTGTAGAACTCCAAATAATTCACTGAAAAAACACACAACAAAATTCATTCTCAGTTTATATCTGATTATGATAATGCAGTGAAAAAAATGAGTGGTGATTTGCCCTGGTATTTCAAGCATCCTAAAGATCTTTACTTTAAGAATAGCTTGCTCTTGAATAGAATAGAATAGAATTCTTTATTGGCCAAGTGTGATTGGACACGCAAGGAATTTGTCTTGGTGCAAATACTGTCAGTGTACATAAAAGAAAATATACATTCATCAAGAGTTAAGAATCATAACGTACAACAATAATAGTCATAGGGTACAATAAGCAATCAAATCATACTAGGAAACAGTCAATATAAATCGTAAGGATACAAGCGACAAAGTTACAGTTATATACCAATGAGTTCAAGTTCAGATTCTAGGAGACTGATTGAAAGATCTCTTTTTGAAACCTTACAATTGAACTGCAGTTAGACATACTGTATATACTGCCCCATAATGTTTTATAGCCCTCTCTGGGTGCTTTACAGTCACAGCTTATTGCCCCATCCCTGGAAGGATGGAAGGCTGTGAGAACCTTGAGCCCCATCAGGATCAAACTCCAGGCTGTGGGCAGTGTTTGCCTGTAATGCTGCATTCTCACCACTGTGCCACTAGGGATCACAAACTATGTTGATCAAGAAGCAATAGTCCAAATAGAATGAGGTAAAAAAGAATGCAAAGACATAAAACAAGGCTGCATGTTTTCCTGAAGGACCTATAGAAGATTTTTAGAGATACTGCAGAGATACTACGTTCCAACTTGTTCAGACTAAGTTGGATGGTAAAGAAATAAACAGAAAGAAAAGAAATCCTTTTGAATTCTGGCATGACATACAGCATGGGTATCACTCCAACAATGATGAGAGCAAATGCAGTTCAGGATGACCATGCACAGAGTTGTCATGAGTCAACTATAATGTAATATGATTTACTAGTATAAAACACATTTTTTTTTAAAAAAAATGGTTGGTACAAATTCAAGTGGATTCCAAATTGTAGCCAATCAGCTATGAACATCAATTTGGGAATCTAGGAAATAAAACAATATATGTGAATTCAGTTGAAAGGCTGATGGTTCTGTTCCGTTTCATCACTGTTATATGTGATGTTACCTTGTAAGGCAAGAAGTCTCAGAGTACATATCCAACAGTAGCAATAACTGGGGTGCCCAGTCTTAACTGCAATTGGAATAAATGATTTTATGGTCTTGAACAAAGGGCTGAACCATGGTCAGATTTTCAGAACAGGCCACATGCAAGAACAGAGAGACAAAACTAGAA